TCGCCAAGTTTGGTGTCCCCTCCCTTGCGTCCCCGCCGAGCCCGGCCACGCGTTTTCCCACGGTCCCGGGGGAACGGGGGGTGCGTGGCCCGGGGGAGCGGGGGGCCGGGGCCCGGGGTGGCCGAGGCGGTGGTGGACGTGTCCTGCAACCCAAGCAGCTCGGCTCCGCCGGGCATTGTCCCCACGGAGCCCGTGGCCATTGTTCCCGGCGCTGCGGGAGCCGGAGGGAGGGCAGCTTTCCACGCCTCGTCCCCGTTCCCCCTCCCCGCGCCATCTCGCCCCCACCCCGACACTCGCACCGGGGCTGCCGGGACCCTAATCCGGGACGGGGCGGGGGGAGGGCGAAGAACACCCCACCCACCCCCGGAAAAAAAAATAAAAAAAATTAAAAATATCGGGCGAGGGAAGGGGAGGCGCGGGGTCCCCCCTCGCAGACTTCCTCCAAGTTGGGAGAAGCGGGAGGGGGAGCGCGGCGGCCGCCGGTGCCCGCCCAGCCCTGCCCCGCCGGCACCGGCAGCACCGGCGGCACCGGCGGCCGCCCCGGCGCGGGGAGTTCAGTGCGGGGCAGAGGAGAGGGGGGGAAAAACGGCGGCGGAAAAAAGAGGGAGTGGGGAGGGGATTATTTACCTCCCTCCGCACCTCTGCGTCCATTACTGACTTAGCGGCGGCCGCGGGAGCCGGGAGCCGCCGGGACGCCGGGGCTGGGGGGAACCGGCACCGGCAGCGGGCAGGGCGCGGAGCCCGGGGCCATCCGGGCGGGGCTGCGGCTCCCGGGAGCCCCGGCCGGGCTGCGCGGAGCGGAGCCCCCGCGCTCACGTTGCCGTTACGTGGGGTTAAACAGGGAACGTCCGCCCGAACGCCCCGAGCGCACCGGGCAGCCCCGGCCCCGCCGCTGACGGGGCCTCGGGGTGAGGCGGCAGTGGCGGGGGGCGGATTCCGCCCAAACATCCATTTTGTCCCTTTTGGAAATGGAGATGGGAGAGAGGAGGGGAAAAAATGCGTCTTTTTTTTTTTTTTTTTTTTTTTCCTTGCTTTCTCCATATTTTACTACGTAAGGAATGACGCGCTCGCGTCGGGAGCGGGATAGGTTCGCCCGGAGCTTGGAGAGGGAGGGGGGAATCCAGGCTGGGGGGAGCGCGGGGGCGGGGGGCGGCTCTGGCAGCAGCAGAACCTAAAAATAACGAGGATTTTATTATTTAAAAAAAAGGAGATATAATAATAATAATAATGATAATAATAATGATAATAATGATAATAATAATAACAGCAATCGCGCTGACCCCGCCGATGCGGCCCTGCACGGGCAGCGGGTGGCAGCGGCCGCTCCGGGGACCCCACCGCGCCTCCCCGGGGACCCTCGGGATTTGGGGCACCCCAGGGGGGGCGCGGGGAGGGTTTGGGGGTCCCCCTGCCCCGTGCCCCCCTCCCGGGGCTGCGGCAGGGGCTGCGGAAGGCGCTCCCCTTTCCCGGGCCGCCGCGGGATTATTGCGGAATGAAGTGGAAATGAAGCAGAAATTGGCAATTTTTTATTCCATTCCAGCCCAAATCCCTCGCTGTTCCCGGGTTAACACCTCCAAACCCCCGGGAACGGATTCCCCCCTCCCTTCGCTTCTCCCGGGCGCGCCGGGATTTTGGGAGCGCTAAAAAATCCCGGGGGTTCCGCGCGGCGCCCGGGGGGGTTCGCGCCCCAAATTCGGCCTCGGGGAAGGGGGGGACACCCAGGGACACCGAACCCCCGCGGAGCCGGAGCCCCCGAGCGCGGCCGGGAGAGCCGGGCCTGGATTGAGCCCCGGAGCCCCCGGGATGCGCGGCCGCCGCCGAACCGGGACCGCGCCGCTGCCGGTGCTGGGGCCGCCCCGGTGCCCTCCTGAGTCCTGCCCGCCCCGGGGACGAGCGGCCCCGGCCCGGTGCTGCGGGGAGGCCTCGGGCTCCGGCTCTGCCCTAATGAGCTCCGCTTATGCATTTCCTCATTAACGAATTTTTCTCGCGGCCGAGCTCGGGGGCACCGGGACGCGCGTCCCCGGCCGCCCGCCGCCCGTCCCGTCCAACCGGGGCTTCCCGGCGGCTCGGCCGCTCCCTGCCGGCCCCGGCAGAAGCAGGAGGCCTGGCCTGAGCGTCCGACACCCCAAATCTTGCGGCCAGCCTCGTGATTCCCGTGCCCGGAGCTGCGGTGCCATCCCCGCCCTCGGTGGCCGTGAGAGCCCCGGTTTGCCCGGGGGCTTCCCCCGGTAAAAGGCGCTCGGGCCGGGCCCGGCTCCCCCAGCCGCCCGGTACCGGCGCGCCCGCTGCCCCCCAGCCCCGACGGCGCGGATTTAGGGGAGTGGGTGGCGTATTTGGGCTCCTTGATGGAGTTTTGATCAAAAATTCATTAAGAGGCGCTCGGCACAGCGCCATGAATATTTCAGGGCTTTTGCAAAACAACAAAATGGGTGTTTGGGGGAGGATGCACCGGGGGACAGGCAGCCCGCGGTGCCCGTCTCGGCCCCGCTTTGAGGCGGCGGGGACGCCAGGAGGGACCGGTCAGCTCCGTTCCGTCGGGGCCGCGGCCCCGGGGCTCGGTGCGGCCCCGTTGTAAGGCGTGGAACGGCCCCGGTTCCGGCGGAGATCGGCCCCGGCTGGGGAGGGCGGCCCTGCAGGGACACCGGGCTCCGGAGCCACCCCGGGCCTGCCCCGGGACGGGCAGAGCTGCGGGGTGGGGACAGCGCGGGGACCCCGTGGCCGCCCGGGATCGGGGACACCCCCGCCCCGAGGGATCCGCTGCCAGGGGCTGCTGCGGGCGGAATAACCCCAAACCCACCGTGCCAGGCCCGCCTGGAAAGGTCCCCGGCCCCAATTGGGGTGCGGGTCCCCCGGCACGTCCCGCCCGCAGCGCAGGGGAGGCGCCGGCCCCGAGCGCAGACAAAGCCCCGGCGGCTCCGCCGGAGCCCAGCGCCCCCCGAGCGGCGCGGCCGCCCCGGCTGGGCCCGGGGTGACCGGGATGGACCGGGCCGCCCCCGGGCCGGCTGGGAAGGGCTCAGGGAGCGCCGGAGGCGGCCGGGGCTGGGGACAGCGCAGCTCTGCCCCTGCCCCGAGTCACCCCCGGCAGCTGCGGGTCCCTGGTGCCACCTCTGGGGCAGCGCCACGGGCAGCGCCAGCCCCTCCGCCAGGCTGAGGACACAGGGACAGCAAGGCCGCTCCGAGGGACCCCAGCGGGGCTGGGGACACTTCCCGAGCCCAGTTCGGGACGTGTCGCAATGGGCGGTACCGGACCTGCCGGCAGGGCTGGGATGCGCAGCTCCGGCCGCTCCCGGCGCTCCCGCCGCTGCCCTCCGGTCCCGCCGCCGTTCCCGGGTGCCGGGGCCGGGACGCGCCGCGTCCCCCCCGCCGCCACCGCCGCCCCCGCAGCCCCCGGCCCCTCCCCGGGGCTCACCTCGCCCTGACATTTCCTGGCGCTCCTTCCATGCCAGCGGGTTGCCATAGCAAATCTAAATCTTACAAACAAAACCAGGGGGAGAGAGGGGAAAAAAAAAAAAAAAAAAGGAAAAAAAAAAAAAAGGCCTGATTAGCATATATTCAAATGAGGCGTGCAATAATGCAAACCATAAATCATGCAGTCATTGCTATTCAATCAGAGCCTCTTACCCCAGCCCCCACTCCCGCTCCCGCTGTGTCGCCTCCTCTCGCAGCCGCAGACCCCGGCCCGGGCCCAAAGGTGGCCCTGGAGGGGACCCGCCACCCTCGGGGGGTGGCGCTGGGCCCGGCGCGGCTCGGCACAGCCCCCTAATCCCGCCTGGTATTTGTGGCGCTCTATTAAACCGGGCAAACTCTCGCCAGGATTAATCTCCCGCCCAGGTTTAATCTCGGGGCCATAATCCATCGCTCCCCAGCCGGGGGAAGGGGCCCAGCTCGGCCCGGGGGGTGTGCGGGACCCCCGGCCCTGCCTGATCCCGGCCTGGGGGTGCCCGAGCGGTGCTGGGGTGCCCCGAGCCCCCCCGGGTGTCCCCGTGGGTGGTGGCGCTGCAGGACCCGGCTGTCCCTCCCTGTCCGCCCCCAGCAGCGCGGCCGTGCCCAGCACAGCCCCCAGGGAGGCTCCCCCACCCCAAAACCGGCAGAACCCCCAAACCCAGCCCAGCCCTGACCCAAAACAGGCTCAGCTCAGCTAGGCCGGGCCTTAACCCCCGCCTTGCCCCCCAGACCCCGATTTTCAGGGGTTTTTCCTTCTCCCCCGTGCTCTGAGACCCCCGAGAGGCTTTTCTGGGGTCACCGAGGGGTGGGGGCAGCACGGCTGAGCCCCAGCGACCCCACCGGAGCAGGGGTGACCTGGCTGTCACCCACCCCGCGGGTCAGCGGCCCCGAGAGGTGGCTCTGAGCCTGGGGGACACGGGGGGGACAGCGACGCTGAGACCGAGGGCGTGCGGGCAGTGCCACCTCTCCCGCGGGGACATCACCGCCGTGCCACCCCGAACTGGGCCGCCCGCGCCCAAAAACCTCACAGCAGACACCCCGAGCCCCCCAGCTCTTTATTGGTGCGAAGATAATAAATAGAAAAGAGCCCCTGGCTGGGGGCGCAGCGCTGTCCCCTGTCCCTGTCCCTGTCCCCCTGGCCGCGGGATTGGGCCGGGGCTGCCGGGTTGGAGCCGCTGCCGCTGCTCTCAGTCCTGCTGCCCCCGCGTGGCGCTTCCCGGCCACTCCGGCTGCTGGGACAGGCTGGGGACAGGCTGGGGACACGCTGGGGACACGCTGGGGACAGGCTGGGGACAGGCTGGGGACACGCTGGGGACACGCTGGGGACATTGCGGGGACACTCTGGGGACACTGCGGGGACAGCGCCCAGCGCCCCCGGACAGGACACGGCCACAGCTCCCGGCCGCGCCCAAAGGAGGGGACTTGGGGAGGGGGGGTCTGGAGGAGCTGCAGCCCCCGGGCGGGGACAGCGACCCTGGGGGCACCGGGGGATCCCGAGCGGCTGCGATGGGGCAGAAGCGGGGGCTGCTCCCCCTCCCCGCGCCCCGCCGGCCTCGCTATCTCTGCCAAACGTCCAGGGGCTGTGCCCTCCGCGCGGGGACCGCGGGGACAGCGGGGACAGCGGGGACGGCGGGGACGGCGGGGACGGCGGGGACGGCGGGGACCGCGACCCTCGGCTCGTCCGGCAGCGGCCGCGGCGGCCCCGGCGCGTACGGGGGGAAGCTCTTGGCGAAGCCATCGCGGGGCTGGAGCTCGCCGGGGGCTCGGGGGGCCTCGCTGAGGGGCGCCAGGGTGGGCAGGGGGGGCTGGGGGGTGCCCGGGGCACAGCCCAGCCCCGGCGACGCCCGCTCCGATTTGATGCTGATGGGCTGCGGCTGCGGGGACGCGCCGGGGACAGCGGCTGGCGGCTCCTCCGCGGGGACGATGCGGCTGCTGGCCCTGCGGCGACAGCGAGGGATGAGGGGCTGGCCCCGCCTCACCGGCGCCGTGTCCCCTTGTCACCCCTACAGGGGCTGAGACCCCCGAGCTCTGTCCTGGGCTGGTTCTGGCCCAGCTGGGCCCACACGGCTGCTGGGGGGGACATGGGGACAGGACCCACGGGGGATCCCGGCTGGAAATGAGCTGGGGGTGCTTCGGGGTGACCCCCAAGAGCAGGCGCTGGGTGGGGGCTGGCCCTCGGTGCCGCCCATGGCCGGGAGGTGACAGCAGAATGGGGTCACCCTCGCCTTGTCCCCCCTGTCCCCTGCCCCAGGCCACCCCTGTCCTTACCACAGTGCTGCCATGTCCTGTCCCCGCTGTCCTGCCCTGTCCCCACCCTGTCCCCACCCTGTCTCCTGCCCTGTCCCCTGCCCTGTCCCTCCTGTCCCCATCCTGTCCCTCCTGTCCCCATGTCAGGGCCACCCCTGTCCCCTGCCCTGTCCCCACCCTGTCCCCACCCTGTCCCCTGCACTGTCCCCACCCCAGGGCTACCCCATCCTCACCCCAGCGCTGCCATGTCACTCCCTGTCCCCTGCCCTGTCCCTCCTGTGCCCCCCCTGTCCCTCCTGTCCCCATCCTGTCCCTCCTGTCCCCATGCCAGGGCCACCCCTGTCCCCTGTCCTGTCCCTCCTGTGCCCCCCCTGTCCCCCCTGTCCCCACCCTGTCCCCTGTCCTGTCCCCACCCCTCCTCACCCCAGCACTGCCACGTCCCGGGGGTGCTGCCAGGCCGGGGGGGGCTGCAGGAATCCGGGGGGCGTTGGGGCCTCTCCAGCCCCAAAATCTGCGGGTGAGAGCACACAGTGAGCGGGAGGGGGTGACAAAGGGAGGGGACAAGGCTGTCCCGAGGCTGGGGCGGCGCCACTCACCCGCCTGGGCCGGGCTGAGGAAGGGGAAGCCGGCGAGGCCGTGGCTCGGGAGGCCGGAGCTGCCCGGGCTGAGCACGGGGCTCAGCGTCTGCAGGGCAGGGAACAGCGGCCGCTGTGGAAAACGGGGGGACCCCAATGGGTTTGGGGTCCCAAAGCCCCGCGGGGACCCCGAGCCCCCCAGCAAGGACCAGAGGAAGGGGCGGATGGGAGGAGCGGGGTCTGGGAAGGGGACAGCCATGTGGCCTTGGGACAGCCATGTGGCCTTGGGGACAGCCGTGAGGCCCTGGGACAGCCGTGTGGCCTTGGGGACACCTGTGTGGCTTTGGGGACAGCCATGTGGCCTTGGGGACAGTCGTGTGGCTTTGGGGACAGCCACGTGGCCCTGGGACAGCCGTGTGGCCCTGGGACAGCCATGTGGTGCTGGGGACAGCCGTGTGGCTTTGGGCACAGCCGTGTGGCTTTGGGGACAGCCATGCGGCCCTGGGGACAGCCGTGTGGCCCCGGGACAGCCGTGTGGCTTTGGGGACAGCCGTGTGGCCCCGGGACAGCCATGTGGCTTTAGGGACAGCCGTGTGGCCCCGGGACAGCCACATGGCCTCAGGGACAGCCATGAGGCCCTGGGACAGCCACGTGGCCTCGGGGACAGCTGCATGGCTTTGGGGACAGCCGACTCACCGCCGCGGTGCCGCCGCTCCGGCCGCTGGCCAGGCCGCCCTGGCTCTCCCCGCGCCGGCCCTCGGCCCCCAGGAACAGCGGCGGTGGCGTTTTGGTGGCCAGGGCGCGGCTCAGGCTGGCGGCGGGGAACAGGGGGTAGCCGAGCCCTGGGGGACAGACGGACAGCGGGACGCACGGATGAGCCCCGGGGCAGCCGGGTGTGCCAGCAAAGCCACCGGGCTGCGACAGGAGGTGACACCCAGGGCAGGGGACGGGGGCTGCAACGCCTGGCTGGAGGGAATGGCACCCACGGGAATGGCCGGTGAGTGAGCCTGTGGCCACCCCATCCCGGGTTTGGGGTGCTGCCTGTCCCCATCCCTGCCTCCTGTCCCCATCCCTGCCTGTCCCATCCCTCCATGTCCCCATCCCTGCCTGTCCCATCCCTCCCTGTCCCATCCCTGCCTGTCCCATCCCTGCCTGTCCCATCCCTCCCTGTCCCCATCCCTGCCTGTCCCATCCCTCCCTGTCCCATCCCTCCCTGTCCCATCCCTGCCTGTCCCATCCCTCCCTGTCCCCATCCCTGCCTGTCCCATCCCTGCCTGTCCCCATCCCTCCCTGTCCCTATCCCTGCCTGTCCCATCCCTGCCTGTCCCCATCCCTGCCTGTCCCCATCCCTCCCTGTCCCATCCCTGCCTGTCCCATCCCTGCCTGTCCCCATCCCTCCCTGTCCCCATCCCTGCCTGTCCCATCCCTCCCTGTCCCATCCCTCCCTGTCCCATCCCTCCCTGTCCCCATCCCTGCCTGTCCCCATCCCTCCATGTCCCCATCCCTGCCTGTCCCCATCCCTGCCTGTCCCATCCCTGCCTGTCCCCATCCCGTGCCACCTCCCACCCCCGGGCATTTCCAGGCTCGGGCCCCGGGGTTTGTGGCGTTTCCAGCCCCTTTCTGTCCCCACCGGGGCTGAGCCCCCGTGCCAGGCTGTGCCCGGGATGGGCTCGATGGGCACGGGGTGAGGGCACAGCTGCTGCCGCTGCTGCCGGGCACAGGAAGCAGCTGGAGCCACCCCGGGCCGGTGTTTCCACAGCTGCGGCCCCGCTCCTGCCCACGCAGCCCCGGCCCCGCGCCCGGGAAGGCCCCGCGGGAGGAGCTTTGCATGCGGGGCCGGGCGGGGAAAATCCCCGAGGGGCAGGGACGGGGTGGGCACGGCCGGGACAGGGGCCAGGGCGGGAATGGGGTGTCCGGGGAGGGGGATCCGTGGAGGGGATGGGGTGTCCGGGGTGGGGGATCCATGGAGGGAGTGGGGTGACCATGGAGGGGATGGGGTGTCCGGGGAAGGGGATCCATGGTGGGGATGGGGTGTCCAGGGTGGGGGGCCCATGGAGGGAATGGGGTGACCATGGAGGGGATGGGGTGCCCATGGTGGGGATGGGGTGTCCAGGGGGGTGCCAGGGTGCCCATGGTGGGGATGAGGTACCCAGGGTGGTAATGGGGTGTCCAGGGTGGTGCCAGGGTGCCCATGGTGGGGATGGGGTGTCCAGGGTGGTGCCGGAATGCCCATGGTGGGCACAGGACCCCCATGGCAGGGATGGGGTGCCCATGGTGGGGATGGGGTGCCCATGGCAGGGATGAGGTGCCCACAGCGGGGATGGGGTGTCCAGGGGGTGCCGGGGTGCCCATGGTGGGGATGGGGTGTCCAGGGTGGTGCCAGGGTGCCCATGGTGGGGATGGGGTGTCCAGGGTGGTGCCAGGGTGCCCATGGTGGGGATGGGGTGTCCAGGCGGTGCCGGGGTGCCCATGGTGGGCACAGGACCCCCATGGCCGGGTCCCCTCCCGGTGCCCACCCCTGCAGTGTCCCCGAGCCTACCTGGGGGCAGCGGCCCCGGGGACCGTCCGGGTGCCTTGGGAGCCGCGGCTCTGAGGGCGGGGGAGCGGCCCTGGCCCTGCGGGGAGCCCAGGGAGCCCTCGGGGGCCGGGGGGGAGCTGCCATAGGCGGCCTCGGGCAGCGGCACCGGGCTCTGTGGGGACACACGGGGGTCAGGGACAGGGACCGTAGGGGACATTCAGGGACATGCAGGGGACAGGGACAGGGACCCTCGGGGACACACAGGGGTCAGGGACAGGGACCCTCGGGATCTTTGGGGACACACAGGGACACACAGGGGTCAGGGACAGGGACCCTCGGGGACACACAGGGGTCAGGGACAGGGACCATAGGGGACACACAGGGACACACAGGGGTCAGGGACAGGGACCCTCGGGATCTTTGGGGACCCTCAGGACTCTGCAGGACAAATCAGATCCCAAAGAGAGGGAGGGGACAGGACACCTGGGGACCCTCGGATGAACCCTTCAGGATGAACCAAAACCCAAGGACAGGGAGGGAATGGGGTCCTTGGGGACACCTGGGGACCCTCGGATGAACCCTTCAGGATGAACCAAAACCCAAGGACAGGGAGGGAATGGGGTCCTTGGGGACACCTGGGGACCCTCGGATGAACCCTTCAGGATGAACCGAAACCCAAGGACAGGGATGGAATTGGATCCTTGGGGACACCTGGGGACGCTCAGGACCCTTCAGGATGAACCAGAGGCCAAGAAGGGCGTGAGGAGCCTGCAGGACAAACCAGAACCCAAGGCCAGCGAGGGGACAGGACTCACATAGAACCTGGGCCGCGCCAGGGACAGATCCACGCCCTCCCCGAGCCTCCTGCCCCTGTCCCCGGGCGGCTCCGGGCCCTCCTCCAGCTCCAGCTCGTGGCTCTCCAGCCCCAGCCCTTTGCGCTTCAGCGTCTGCGGGGAGGTGACAATGAGCGCGTCCCTGCGGCACCGCGGGGCCCCGGGGGCCGCCCCGGCCGCTACCTCGAGGATGTCGGAGTTGGTGCGGCTCTCGTGGGGCTCGCTGTACTCGGTGTACTTGAGCAGCACCTTGTCCATGTCGGTGCTGGCGTACTGGAACAGGCGGTTGGTGCTGTTGAAGATGATCAGGGCGATCTCGCAGTCGCACAGCACGCTCAGCTCGTACGCCTTCTTCATCAGCCCGAATTTCCGCTTGGTGAAGGTCACCTGAGGGGGGCCGGCCGTGAAAACCCCCCAAAACGGCGCCCATTCCTCCCAGAAACGCTCCCCCCGGGCTGGTTTTGCCTCCCGTCCTCCTCATCCTCTCCCTGGTCCCACCTCACCCCGAGCAGCCCCCACCTGCCGGTTCCGCTGGTCCAAAATGCGGCTGATCTGGATCTTCTTGCGGCCCATTTTCGCCTCCTCCGCTGGGTTCGGGGCTGGAAGAGAGCGAGAAACGCCTGAGCCCCGCGGCCCTCGGGGCTGTCCCCAGCCAGGGTCCGCCCCAGCGCCGCCAAAAATAAGTTTGGCTGCGAAAAAAAATCGATTTTCGGAGGAAGTTCGGTCATTTCTTCTTCCGCGAAGATGGTGGCCAAGCGGAAAATGGGGGGAAATTGGGAAATTCTGTTGGGTTAGAGGGGAAAAAATCCCCTTGGCCTTGCCCAGCCACCCCAATCCACACTCCCCAAGCGCCTTTGGGTGTCGGCCGCGATCCCAAATCACGGGATCCCAAATCCCGGGGGTTTGGGAGCGGAGTTCTCACCCCAGACCCCCGAGGCTGCTCCCGAAGCTGCTCCCGGCGGCTCCGTGGGACGGGGAGGGCGCTTAAAAGGGGGCCGGGCTGGCGGCGGGGAGGGTCCCTCAGACAAAGGGGTTGGTTTGAGGTTTAAATTTGGGGATTTTTTTTAAATTTCTTTTTTTTTTGGGTTTTTTTTCAGGCTCCAGCAGACTAAATTTGACCTCCGCCACTCGCGGGCCAGGAAGTGGCGGCACGAGGAGGCGGCGAAGCGAAACCGCCCGCCCGCCCCGAGAGCCGGCCCGGGACGGGGACACGGGGCTGGCGACCCCCGGGGCCGCCGTGGCTGAGGGGCGCAGCACCCCCGAGCGCGTCACAGCGCTGGGACACCCCCAATTCCTGTCACTGTCCCCAATTGCTGCCCCTCTGACACCCCCACAGCGCTGGGACACCCCCAATCCCTGTCACTGTCCCCTGTTCCTGTCCCTCTGCCATCCCCCGAGCGCGTCACAGCGCTGGGACACCCCCAATCCCTGTCACTGTCCCCAATTGCTGTCACTGTCCCCAGTTGCTGCCCCTCTGACACCCCCACAGCGCTGGGACACCCCCAATCCCTGTCACTGTCCCCAATTGCTGCCCCTCTGCCACCCCCACAGCGCTGGGACACCCCCAATTGCTGTCACTGTCCCCAATTGCTGCCCCTCTGCCACCCCCCGAGCGCGTCACAGCGCTGGGACACCCCCAACTGCTGTCACTGTCCCCAACTGCTGTCACTGTCCCCAATTGCTGCCCCTCTGACACCCCCACAGCGCTGGGACACCCCTGTTCCTGTCACTGCCCCCCAATTGCTGTCACTGCCCCCCGTTCCTGTCCCTCTGCCACCCCCACAGTGCTGGGACCCCCCAATTCCTGTCACACACCCCAATTCCTGTCACACACCCCAATTCCTGTCACATCCCCCCCAATTCCTGTCACACCCCCCCAATTCCTGTCACATCCCCCCCAATTCCTGTCACATCCCCAGTTTCTGTCACATCCCCAGTTTCTGTCACACCCCCCAGTTCCTGTCCCTCTGCCACCCCCCCAGCAAGAGCCACCCCAAAATCCCCCAATTCCACCAGCGGGGCAGAGCCACGGGTGGCACTGAGATGTCCCCAGCCCCACCCGGGTGTGGGGACAGACCTGGCCTGGCTCTGTCCCCGCTGTCCCCAAACCACGGGGCAGGAGCGGGGCTGGGACACTGCGGGGCGGTGGCTCCGTGTTGGGGACGGCTTTGGGACCCCCCCGGTGCCAGGGGTGCAGTTGGGGACCCTCGGGTCCCCCGATGCCCCCGGCGTGTCCCGCCTCCCCCTCTCGAGCACGTTGCCATTTCACCATCGTGCTCGCTGCTATTTTTAGCTGATCAAAACTAATTTTAATTTATGGAAGGAAATTGCGCTGCCGTTCCCACGGCCCCGCTGCCACCCTGTGTCCCCGGGCCCACGCACGACCCCCCCCGTGCCCCCTCCCCGAGGGCCTGGGGGTGCCCAGAGCACCCCGGCCCCGCCGGAAAGGGCTGAGAATTCCCGGCTGGAAAAGGAGAGGTTTTCCTGTTCCCAATCATCCCGGGGGCGTCCTCCTGGCCCCGACACCTGCGCTGCTCCCTGGGGACACCCCGGGGTCGTTTTGGGGGTGGCATTTTGGGGCAGGGGGTGCTGGCCTGGCTGTGACCCCCCCGTGTCCCTGCAGAGCCTCAGCCTGGGGGGAGATTTGAGGGAGGGACGGAAGGATGGACACAGGGACGGATGGATGGACCCAGGGATGGATCTATGGGATGGATGGATGGATGGATGGACACAGGGACGGATGGGTGGACACAGGGATGGATGGATGGACACAGGGATGGATCCATGGGATGGATGGATGGATGGATGGACACAGGGACGGATGGGTGGACACAGGGATGGATGGATCGACACAGGGATGGATCCATGGGATGGATGGATGGATGGATGATGGATGAATCCATGGATGGATGGATCATGGATGGACGGATGGAGGGATGGATCCATGGATCCATGGATGGATGGATGGACACAGGGATGGATGGATCCATGCATCCATGGATGGATGGATGGACACAGGGATGATGAATCCATGGATCCATGGATGGATGGATGGACACAGGGATGGATGAATCCATGGATCCATGGATGGATGGATGGACACAGGGATGTTGAATCCATGGATCCATGGATGGATGGATGATGGATGAATCCATGGATCCATGGATGGATGGATGGACACAGGGATGGATGCATCCATGGATCCATGGACAGATGGTGGATGGATGGATCCATGAATCCATGGATGGATGGATGGACACAGGGATGATGAATCCATGGATCCATGGATGGATGGATGGACACAGGGATGGATGAATCCATGGATCCATGGATGGACGGCTGCATCCCCCACCTGCAGCAGGGCCATGGAACAACTCCAAGGATTTGCCTGGGGACAATCCCCCACAGACCCTTGGATGCTGTGGTACCTCAGAGCCCCATGGGGGACGCCCAGGGGGACCTGGAAGGTTCCAGCAGCCACAGGGAGATTCCAAGGGGGGTCCTGAGAGGAGCTGATTTGGATCAGGTTTGGGGTTGGGGTTGGGGTTGGGGTTGGGATCGCTCCCACCTCATCCCAACCATTCCCAGTGGGACCCAGCACCCACAGCTCGGCCTCACCCCTGCCCCCGAGCTGGGGTCGGGTTTGTAACCAAAGCCCCGACTCTCTGTGCCTTTAGGGGTGTAAATCCCCAATTCCAGCTCCCGAGCAGTGAGCAGAGACCAAACCATCCCTGTGAGCCACCGTGGGACTCCCAGCACCACAGCGGGGCCTCCAGCACTGCCTGCAGCACCTCCACGCCCCTGGATGCTCCCAGAAACCCTAAACCCACCAAATTTATCCCAAAATCCAGGCAGGGGGGTACTAAAGGAAAAAGCTGCTCCAGGGTTGAGCGCTCCCCTAAAACACCCCCAAGTCAGGGTCTCGGAGCTGCCCAGGGATTCATCCTCCCATGGGGAGCAGAAAGTGCAGGAAAGGGGGTTTTTTACCAAATTCTGGGGGTTTTGCTGCAAATCTGAGAGCCGGGGGTGACTGGGAAGGACTGGGAGGGGATTGGTTCTCAAGCACCCGCTGGTAGCTTCTGGCAGCTCCCAAAAAGCGTTTTGGGAGAAAAAATACAATTAGAGCAGGGAGAAAGAGCTTCTATCCCAAGGGAGGGGAAAATCTGAGCCAGGAGCAGCAAAATTCCACAGGAGGGAGGGGATGATGGTGGGACCAGGAGGGGAACAGGGGTGGGGATGGGGGCTTGAAATGGGGATTTAAATGGGGTTTGAGATGGGAGTTTGAAATGGGGATCTGAAATGGGGACTTGAAAAGGGAGCTTGAAAAGGGGATTTGAAATAGGGCTGGAAATGGGGTTTGAAATGGGAATTTAAATTGGGGGTCTGAAAGAGGGCTTTGAAATGGGGAATTTAAACGGGGATTTGAAATGGGGTTTGAAATGGGGGTGTGATATGGGGGTTTGATGTGAGGGTTTGAAATGGGGATTAAAAATGGGGGTTTTAGGAGCACCAGACCCGGAGTGCTGAGCCCAGAGGGCCAGGTCCAGGCCTGGCCCCGTGGTTTGGATCCCCTGGGAGTGGCTGAGCTGCTGTGAGCAGCATCCCGAGCCCAGCACGGGGAAAAGTCAAAGTTGAGCGTGGAGTTTGTGCTGGGCGCTCCTGCTTTTTATAGGTTGTTTAAACAAGGGAGCAGCACAAACCAGCGCGGGGCCGGCAGCGCTGGGCGGGGACTGGGAGCCAGCGGGGAATGGGGGAAAGGCGGGGACGGGGCCCTGAGGGGTTTTGGGACCACCACGGCCTCCCCACAGCCCGTCCCCCCCTTCCCAAACGCCCAGCAGCCATAAAACCCCAAAGCCAGGGTTTGGGGCTCTGGGGGGCACGGCCGCCCTCCAGCCCTGCTGTCACTGTCACTGTCCCCGTCCCCCTGGGGTGACACAGAGCGAAAGCCCCGGGCTGATGGGTGGAGGATTTTCGGTTCCAAAATGAGTGTGAGGAAGGAGGAAGGATTGAAATGGCCCCAAAACCGAGGCAGCTCAGGGCCCTGGGAGGATGGACGGACACACGGACCCCCTCCTGCCCAGGGCACAACTGAGGCTCCCTCCAGGGAGGGAACTCACAATTCCCACGGGATTGGGCTGGGATTGACCTGGGGTGGTCCCCGCTTGGTGCTGGGGGCACTCAGGGCTGGCCCCGGGGCTCTGGGGCTGCCTGGCTCGCAGAGCTGCCTTATCCTGACCATCCTGCGGGGATTTCCGGGAAGAGGAGGGGAATTCCAGGGGTTTGCATTGTCCTGATTCCCCCCAGATCCTCCTGGTGCCCCCAGTGCAGCTCTGCAGCCCCTCACGGCTGGATCCCAGCACGATCCCTCCCCCTCTGCACCAAAGGCTCACAGAGTTTCCCAAATCCACTTTTTTTGGGATGTCATGGGTGCCCTGGGCTTGGGAAGGTTTGGGATCCTAAACCAGACCTGAGGCCTGGTTTAAACTGGTTTACTGCCTGGTTTAGGCTGGTTTAAACTGGTTTACTGCCTGGTTTAGGCTGGTTTACTGCCTGGTTTAGGCTGGTTTACTGCCTGGTTTAGGCTGGTTTACTGCCTGGTTTAGGCTGGTTTACTGCCTGGTTTAGGCTGGTTTACTGCCTGGTTTAGGCTGGTTTATTGCCTGGTTTAGGCTGGTTTACTGCCTGGTTTAGGCTGGTTTATTGCCTGGTTCAGGCTGGTTTACTGCTGGCTTGACCCAGCAGGATCCCTCTCCCTTTGCACAGAACTTTCCCAAAGTTTCCCAAATCCGCTCTTTTGGGGTGCCGTGAGTGCCCTGGGCAGGTTTGGGGTCCTAGGCCTGAGCTGAGCCTGCACCAGGTCCCTCCTTCCCCCGGAGCCCCCGGGGTCCCTGTGCCGTGTCCGGCCGGCCGCGGGGCTGTGGCACAGGGCCAGGCCTGGGATGTCCTGGTGGTCACCCCCGGTCCTTTCACGGCCCCAGGGATGCCCGGGGGGTCCCCTGGGGGCGCAGCCCCCCCTCCTTGGGGCCCATCTCCGCTTCCCTGCTCATCCCGAGCTTCCAGGGAAATTCATTCCCTGGGAAAGTCCAGACCGGCAGCGCTGGGAGAGTTTCTGTCATTAAAAGAGTAAAAATTCCTGAGGATGGGGACAGGGACAGGGACAGGAGGGACAGGGACAGGGACAGGGACAGGAGGGACAGGAGGGGCAGGGACAGGGACAGGGACAGGGACAGCAGGGACAGGGACAGCAGGGACAGGGACAGGAGGGACAGGGACGCACTGGCAGCGAGCTGTGCTGGGCAGGAGGATCCGGCAGAGGATCCACCTCACTGTCCATAGGTGCCAGGGGGACCCAGGTGCCCTGGGACACTCTGGAGATGGCCCATGGAGGTGCCACCACCCTGGACATGGCACATGGAGGTGCCACCACGCTGGGGATGGCACATGGAGGTGCCACCACCCTGGGGATGGCACATGGAGGTGCCACCACCCTGGGGATGGCACATGGAGGTGCCACCACCCTGGGGATGGCACATGGAGGTGCCACCACGCTGGGGATGCCCCTGGCAGGAACCGTGCCCGTGTCCTGTCCCCTCGGGAGCGGCCAGGCCGCTGTGCCAGCCCCGCGAGGTGACAGCGCCATCGGGGGGGACCGGGCGCGCTGTCCCCGCGGCCGCCGCAGCCGCACCGAGCCCGCCGCTGCCGTGCCTCAGTTTCCCCGCGCTCCGGTGGCCCGGGGGCGGCGGGGAGGCGGCGGCGGGGCCGGGGCAGGGCGGCCGCCGCCCAGGCTGCACTTTTGGGTTAAACCCGGGCGTTCCTCCCCGCGCAGACACGAGTAAAAATAACCGGCCCGAGCCCGGCGCAAACCGCAGGCTTTTTATAGCCGCCATCCCGAGACGGCGGGGCGGGGGCCGGGGCTCCGCCGTGCCCAGAGCCGCCCGCCGGGCGCCGGCCCGGCCGCACCGGCCCCTCCCCGGGCCGGCCCCGGGCTCCCCTGCCCGTGCGCCCCGCCGCGATGCGGACGGAGCCCGGCCGAGGAAAGCGGAGCCCACGGCGCTGCTGGCGCCCGCCGCCGAGCCCCGTGCCCGCCGCCGGTGCCACCGGAGCGCGGGACCCCCGTGCCCGCCGCGGGACACGCACCTGGGCAGCGCCGCTCCCTCCTCGGCGGCTCCGCGCCCTCCCGGCGCTGCAGCGCGGCCGGGGAGGCCCCGGTGCCGGTGCTGGTGCCGGTGCCGGTGCTGGTCCCGGTGTCGGTGCCGGTGTCGGTGCCGGTCCCGGTCCCGTTCGTGTCCCCGGAGCGCTGCCGCCGCCTGAGCGAGCAGCGCCGCTGACATTTGCATAACCCCGCCCACACTGCCCGAAGATTTGCATACAGCAGCCGGGCTGCTCTGCCATTGGTTAGTGACGGGCGCTTATTTGCATAGTCACGCCCTTGTCCGGGTGAGGGGCGGGGCGAAAGAAAGGGGCGTGGTCAGGGGGTTCGGGCGCTGCAGGTGGGAAAAGGGAGTATCAGGGAATATCAGGGAATATCAGGGAATTCAGGGAAAATCAGGGAATATCAGGGAATTCAGGGAATATCAGGGAATTCAGGGGATTCAGGGAAAATCAGGGAATATCAGGGAATTCGGGGGAATCAGGAAATCAGGGAATATCAGGGAATTCGGGGGAATCTGGGAACTCAGAGAATATCAGGAAATATCATGGAATATCAGGGAATTCAGAGAAATCAGGGAATATTACGGGAATCAGGGAATATCAGGGAATATCAGGAAATGAGGGAAATCAGGTCCCACCCAGCCCCACAGCAGGGACATTTTTGCACCCTGGACATCCTGGGGGTCCTGTCCCCGCTCCCAGCCCCGGGGAGGAAAACCTGGAGAAATGAGGAATTTCTGGACGAGGCTCTCAGGCGCTCAGGACGTGCCACCTTCCTCAGAGCTGCTTTTAAATCTCGTGATTTATGGAGTGCAATTAGCGGAGCGTTAATGAGCCTCGCCAGTAATATTAATTGATCCTGAAGAGCGGGTGGGGGCAGAACAGAAGCGCCGGGGCTTCGGCAGAGTCTGAGGGGACCCGTCCAGGTGTCCCCTCCAGCCCCGGGACACTCTGGGGACACTCGGGGTGGCTCTTTGGGTGTGGGACATCCCTGCCCTGCCCTGCCCTTCCTTCCCCTCGCACTGCCCCGGTCCGGCCCGGGTCAGGGCCACTCCCAGCCGTGCTGGGCCGAGCCGTTTTCGGGGTTTTGGGGACAGGGACCCCGCGGTGCCCCCGGGTCAGGCGGTGCCCCCGGGTTCTTTCCCAGCTCCCAGAGCTTTGGGCTCCTTCTTGAGGCTCTTCCTGCCCCCAAATGCCGGGATTCTGGGGAGTTTGGGGTGCTGGATGCCCTGGGATGAGCGCTGCGCCCCAAGGGACGCGGCCGAGCTCTGTCACCGCCCAGGACACGGGAAAGGGACACAGATGCCGTCACCAGGAGCTGCTCTGGGGACCTTGGGCCGAGTCCCAGGGACTGCCACCGCCTCCCCCCCTTCCCAAAAATGCTGGAAAGGAGCCTGGAGCCAAAGCGCTGCTGCTGCCAAGGCCAACACGGCGGGACTTGAAAATAGCCCCGAGTCCGGCACGGCCCCGGTGCCAGCGGGAACCGCCCACGCGGGACGGGAGGGAGGGACAGAGGGACAGAGAGGGACAGAGAGGGACAGAGAGGGACAGAGGGACAGAGAGGGACAGAGGGACAGAGAGGGACAGAGAGGGACAGAGGGACAGAGAGGGACAGAGAGGGACAGAGAGGGACAGAGGGACAGAGAGGGACAGAGAGGGACAGAGGGACAGAGAGGGACAGAGGGACAGAGAGGGACAGAGAGGGACAGAATGGGACAGAGAGGGACAGAGAGGGACAGAGAGGGACAAAGAGGGACAGAGGGACAGAGAGGGACAGAGGGACAGAGAGGGACAGAGAGGGACAGAGAGGGACAGAGAGGGAGAGAGAGGGGACAGAGAGGGACAGAGAGGGACAGAGAGGGACAGAGGGACAGAGGGGACAGAGAGGGACAGAGAGGGACAGAGGGACAGTGAGGGACAGAGGGACAGAGGGGACAGAATAGGACAGAGAGGGACAGAGAGGGACAGAATGGGACAGGAAGGGACAGCGAAGGACAGAATGGGATAGCGAAGGGATAGAAAGGGACAGAGGGGACAGAGAGGGACAGAGAGGGGACAGAGAGGGGACAGAAAGGGACAGAAAGGGACAGAGAGGGACAGAAAGGACAGAAAGGACAGAAAGGACAGAAAGGGACAGGAAGGGACAGGAAGGGACAGGAAGGGACAGGAAGGGACAGGCAGCACTGCTCCTCCAGCAGGCAGAGATCAGCTCGGTCTGGATGCCCGGCTGGGCACGGCTGCTGGCACCGGGATGGGGGAGGCACCCCGATGTCCCCTGGTGTCCCCTGGTGTCCCCTGGTGTCCCCTGGTGTCCCCTGGTGTCCCCCGGTGTCCCCTGGTCCCTGCTGCGCGGGAATTGCTGTGCCGGGAAGCGCGGGGCGGTTCCCGAGGCGCCCGGGGAGCGCGGGGTGAATTTCCCTGGGCTGATCCTGCCGGGAGCCTCCGGCGGCCCCAGGGGACGGCGCTGGCGGGGCGGATCCCCCCGGAGCGCTGGGGTTCCGCTTCCCAGGGTATTTATAAGGCCTGGGAAACTCGCGGGGTCCCAGGGGCCGGCCCGAGGGTCCTTTCCCAGCCTTGCGGGACTGGGAACGTTTCGGGAGCTCCCCCGGGGCTGGACGGGACGGTCCCGGCGCAGGTGGAGGCCAAAGGCGCCGCTCCCGGGGGACGCGGGAACCGCGGGGCCCCGTCCCGCACCGGGCTCAGTCCCGGGCCGTTCCCAGGGAACGGCAGCGCTGGGAATGGGAGAGCGGCTCCCTGCCCGTCCGTCCGTCCGTCCGTCCGTCCCCAGTCCCCACCCCCGCTCCCTCCACTCCCTCCCGCCGCCCCCTGGAGGCTCCGGGGCCCCGCCGGGGGCGGAGCCGGCTCGGGAGGGTCCCGGCCCGGAGGCAGCACCGGGGGCAGCACCGGGGGCAGCACCGGAGGCGGGACCGGGGGCAGCACCGGGGGCAGCACCGGAGGCGGGACCGGGGGCAGCACCGGGGGCAGCACCGGAGGCAGCACCGGAGGCAGGACCGGAGGCGGGACCGGGGGCAGCACCGGAGGCGGGACCGGGGGCAGCACCGGAGGCGGGACCGGAGGCGGGACCGGGGGCAGGACGGGCCCGCCCCGGCGGGCACCGCGGAACGGAGGCAGGACCGGCCCGGTGCCCGTTCCCGGTTCCCATTCCCCGCCCGAGCTCCCGCAGCGGCGGCACCGAGAGGTCGGGGAGCGCGCGCACGTTCGGCACCCCCGGTTCCCCCGGTTCCCGCGGTTCCCGGTGCCGGTACCGGCCCCGCCATGCCCTCCGCGTACCCGCAGCGAGCCCTGACGGTGCTGCTGCTCTTCGGGACCCTGTCCGCCGCCATGGCCCTGCTCTCCTCCAGCCTCATCTTCCAGCTGCCCTCGGGCCGGGCCGCTCCCGGTGCCGGTGGCGGTCGCGGGGCGCTCCCGGAGCCGGTGGCCGCCGCTGTGCTGCCGGTGTCGGCCGTGCTGGCCGCGCTCTGCCTGGTGCTCAACGTGAGCTGCCTCCTGCTCTGCCTCCTCCACGGCTACTGCAGCACCGAGCTGGGCCGGGGCCGGCCCGGGCCCGAGCGGTGAGAGCCCCGAGCGGGGCCACCGGGGAACCGGGGCTCGGGGAACGGGGGGCTCGGGGGAACGGGGCTCGGTAGAGGCGGGAACCGGGGCTGGAGGGGCCGGGAGCCGCAGGGACCGGGGCTGGAGGGGCTCGGGAGATGCGGGGATGCCCGGAGGGATCCGGCGGGGCCGGAGGGACCGGGGATGCCCAGAGGGATCCGGGGCCGGAGGGACCGGGGATGCCCGGAGGGGTCAGGGCAGAAGGGAAGGGCCGGAGGATGCGGCGGGGTCAGGGAATGAGGGGTCCGGGGTGCCCCAAAACCCGCGGGAGGATTCGCTGGGTCCCCTCCAAAAGGGGGTTGTGGGGAGCAATGGGTGGAAAATGCCCCAAATTCCCCTCCGTGAAGCCCAGGGTCGGAACTGAGCTCTTTAATTTGAGTTTTAGAGGCTCTGGAAATTGGGAGCGGCAGGTTTAGACCTGGCTGCACAATCCAGGGGTTTCATTTCCATGACTGGGAACTCCCAGCGGGGTTTGGGGGCGTCCCAGGAGCTCCTGGGGTCACCTCGACCCCCAAAATTGCCCCAAAATGTTGGCCCTGAGGTCACTGCTGGGGTCACCACCCGGGCCACCAAAACGACCCCAGGGCTGGGTCATTACCGCCATTCATTAAATGTTGATTTAATCACTAATCAATCGGAATAATCAATCAGCACTTTTACACATGCAGGGTTATTCCCAGAGAAATTCCTTTCTGTTTTTTTTCTTTTTCATGGATCTGGAATGGGCTGGGGGCTCCTGGCCCAGCACCCGGGTTAAAACTAAAAACAGCTCGGGGATAATCTGATTTTAAAGGATTTTGGTGACAACTGGACTTGGTGGGGTGGCTCACGCAATTTTGGGACCTCTCTGACTTCAGCCGAAACTCCCTGAAAGCGAATGACGAGGTTCCAACAGCCACTTTTTGTCCCTTAATTAGAGAATCCAATCAGCCCCGGCTCTGCACGGAGCATCGGGCTGGAGAAATTCCAGCAGCGCCTCCTCAGCCTCTTCCAACGCTTCATTAACGGAGGAGAGCAAAAATATTTCCCTAAAAACACAAAAAATCCCCACAACAAACGCGGCTTTTCTGCTGGAAAATTTACAACAAAAAAAATTTCCCCCCACCCCGAGCTGTGAATTTTCCTGTGAGCCCAGCCCGGATTTTGGGCTGAAACTGCTCCATTTGGGAGCTGGGAAGTTGCAATTCGGGAATTGCGAGGTCACAGGTGAGGAAAAATTCCATTCCCAAAAGCTCCCGGCGCCGGGAGGCTCGGCCCCGGTAACGCGAACGTCGGGAGGGTTCCGTGCCTGTCCCCGGGGGTCTCCGGCCCATCCCGGCCCCGTGCCTCAGTTTCCCCGGCTGCGGCGGGAGCCCCGCGCTCGGGCCGGGAGCAAAGGCGGCGTTGGGGGCCACGGCCGGGAGGTGGCGGCGATGTCCCCACGGCCGGGAGGTGGCGGCGATGTCCCCGTGCTGTGGTGGCGGTGATGTCCCCGTGCTGTGGCGGCGCTACGGGAGCCGCTCACGTCGCGGGGACCTTCGGCGCTGTCAGCCCCAATTGCCACTGTCACCCCAAACTCCGCTGTGACCCCGAACTGGCGCTGTCACCCCAAACTCCGCTGTGACCCTCAACTGGCGCTGTGAGCCCGAATTCCGCTGTCACCCCCAATTGCCGCTGTCACCCCCAACTCCGCTGTGACCCCCAATTGCCGCTGTCACCCCGAACTGGCCCTGTCACCCCAAACTCCGCTGTGACCCCAAACTCCGCTGTCACCCCAAACTGGCGCTGTCACCCCGAATTAACGCTGTGACCCCGAACTGGCCCTGTCACCCCGAACTGGCCCTGTCACCCCAAACCGGCCCTGTCATTCCCTCCGGATTTTTCCTGGGCTCAGATCAGGGCCAGGACCAGTCCTGAATTCCTCCCTCCATCCTTTCCCCGGGCTCAGAGCAGGACTGGAGCCTGCCCAGATCTGTTTTCCCTGTGAGGAGCCCTTCCAGAGCTCTTTTCCCCCTTTTCCCTCTTTTCCCTGTTTTCCCCGTTTCCCAGGGCAGTCTGGTTCCTCCTGGACAGCCGGAGCGTCCGGCACGCGGCCATCGGCCTCTTCTGCTGCGGGGTCTGCCTCTACCTCACAGGCAAGTGACCCCCGGTGTCCCCAGTGACCCCAGTGTCCCCAGTGTCCCCAGTGTCCCCAGCCCAGCCCTGCCCTGGTTTCTCCTCCAGGACTGCTTTGGTTCACAAGTGGCTCCATCAGCTCCTTCCCACACCCTGCAGTTCCCATCCCAGGGGCCCAGGCTGGAATTCTGGAGGGGCTGGAGGGGTGCAGAGATGGGAACGGAGCTGGAGAATTCCTGAGGGACCTGGGAATTTCCAAATTTTCCAAATTTCCAAACCCAGGAAATCTCCAAGTTTTCCAGGAACTTCCAAATCCGTCCCTTGGGTAATCCCAGCCCCTGAGATTCCTTTTCCAGGGGCTCCTGGGCTGTCCCTGAGCCCTTTTCCAGCCCCAGCCACTCCAGGAATTTGTGAATCCATCCCTTTTAACTCCCGAGCCCTTTTCCAGCCCCAGCCACTCCAGGGATTTGTGAATCCATCCCTTTTAACTCCCGAGCCCTTTTCCAGCCCCAGCCACTCCAGGGATTCCCAAACCCATCCCTCTTTACTCCCGAGCCCTTTTCCAGCCCCAGCCACTCCAGGGATTCCCAAACCCACCCCTCTTTACTCCCGAGCCCTTTTCCAGCCCCAGGCACTCCAGGGATTCCCGAACCCACCCCTCTTTACTCCCGAGCCCTTTTCCAGCCCCAGCCACTCCAGGAATTCCCGAATCCATCCCTTTTAACTCCCGAGCCCTTTTCCAGCCCCGGGCATTGCCGCTCCCCTCAGGGCGCCCCTGTGCTCTGCTCCGCCCGCAGCCCTGGCCCTGCTGATGCTGCTGCTGTTCGAGCCGCAGGCCGGGATCGCCAGCGCCTGCGTCCTGACCTCGGGCATCCTGGTCCTGCTGCTCTCCCTGCTCCACGCGCTGCTCCGCGCCTCCCGCGTGGCCCAAATCTCCCGAATTCCGCCCATTTCCCGAGGCCCGGAGCCTCCCCAGGCCCTGTACGAGAACGGCTCCGCCCAGCGCGGCCCCGGCAGCGACCTCGGCAGGGACGGGGCTGCTGCTCCCCGGCGCCGCCCCGGAGAAACCCCCCGGGAATTCTCCTTCCCAGCCCTCCTGGAGGGCAGATCCCGGCCGGGCTCGGCCTCCAGCAGCAACCCGAGCTCCAGGAGCAAGGAACTCCCCAGGGAATCCCAGTGGGAATTATCCAGGAGCAAGGAACTCCCAAGGGAATCCCAGTGGGAATTATCCAGGAGCAAGGAACTCCCCAGGGAATCCCAGTGGGAATTGTCCAGGAGCAAGGAATTCCCCAGGGAATCCCAGTGGGAATTGTCCAGGAGCAAGGAACTCCCAAGGGAATCCCAGTGGGAATTGTCCAGGAGCAAGGAACTCCCAAGGGAATCCCAGGACTGGTCCAGGAGCAAAGAATTCCCAATGGAATCCCAGGACTGGTCCAGGAGCAAGGAATTCCCCCGGGAATGCCAGGACTGGTCCAGGATCAAGGAATTCCCAATGGAATCCCAGGACTGGTCCCGGATCCAGGATTTCCCCAGGGAATCCCAGCAGGAATTGTTCAGGACCCAGGATTCCCCCAGGCCATGGCAGTCCCAGGCCTGGCCCCGGACCCACAGGACGCTGCTGGAGCCAGGGCTGCTCCAGGAGCAGGGAAACCCTTGGAATGTCACCAGCGGGGAGATGAGGGACGCGGTGTCCCACAGAGCCACCAAGGACTCCACGCTGGTCTGAGGGAAACTCGGGGTTTTCCTGGAGGAGGAGCTGATGGTTTTCCACTGGTTTGGGTTTTGGTTTGGTTTTTTTGTTTTTCCTGGAAAAATTCCTTTCTCCACAGCCCAAATCCCAGTGCTGCCTGCCCGGGGAACCCAAACCCACCCCAGCCGTGGGAGAGCATCTGGGAAATGGGGAGCAGGAATTGGGGTTTTCACCAGCAGAATTTCAGCCTTTCCCAGCAGATCCCGGCTCATTTCCCTTCCCCTTCCTCCCTGCTCCATCCTCATCCTCAGCACTGGCATGGATGGGGAGGGTTTGGGGTGGGGGAAACCCAGTTTGGGGTGGGGGAAACCCAGTTTGGGGTGGCCAGGAACAGATTTGGGGTGAGAAAAAGCAGATTTGGGGTGGCAGGGGATGCTCTGGGGTGACCAAGTGCAGGTTTGGGATGGCCAAAAGCGGGGTTGGGTCTGCCAAGGGTGGGTTTGGGGTGGGAAAAGGCAGATTTGGGGTGGGAAAAGGCAGATTTGGGGTGGGGAGAAGCAGATTTGGGCTGGGAAAAGGCAGATTTGGGTTGGGAAAAGGCAGATTTGGGGTGTCCCTGCTATTATCCCAAATCCCAGCTGCTATCCCAAGGGCAATTCCCCTGGAATCTGAGTTCAGCCATTCCCTGAGTCCCCCTGGGAAATCCAGGAGGGACCCACAGCAAAGCTCTGCTCCCTTCCAGTCACCCCCAAAACCAAGAGTGCAAGACAAAAATCCTTTTTTTTTTTTTTTTTTTTCCCTTCTTTTTGTGGGATTTTAAGGAATTTTTTCTCCCTTGAAAGCCTAAAATTCCACATTCTTTTGTCCCATGCCCTTGGAAACCCCAGGATAAAAAAGGAGCTCCAAGCTCCCACGGCCACAGGAGAAAAGTTGAAAACCTTTAAAAGGAATTTTCTTCTTGTGTCTTTTTGGAGATTTTTGGGGTGGTTTTTTTTTTTCCTTTTTATTCTCGTCCTCATTAAAACCAAACCCAGCAATTCCTTGGCAGCAGCTGGAAAAGTTTCTCCTTGGAGAATTCCTCCTCAACAAAAGCCTGGAGTGCTGCTCACATTCCAGCTTTTCACACGAAATTCCCAAAGCCAGACCTCATCTCTGAGGGTTTTTTGGGGGAAAAAGAAAGGGAAGAGGATAAACACAAACCCACCCTGTTTTTCCACGGAAAAGAGGTCCCAAAAAGCAGGATTTGGGATTTTCCAGCTCCTTCTTTTTGCTGTTTTCCCGGGAATTCAGGGGCCTCTCTACCTGTGCAGCCCCAGAGGTTTTTTCACTTCTTCCCAAGGCTGGGAAATTCAGGATGGAAAATCAGGAGGTGCCTGGAGGATTCTTGGGCTGGGGGGTGATGGTGCTGTGGGAAGAAAAAGGAAAAGTTAAATTCAGCAGCCTGAAAATGTGGGAAATTTGGGGTTTCCTCAAAAAATTCCCTCTGCCAGTGGTTGCTGGGGTAAGGGGTTGATTTTAGGGTGGCACAGCCATTCCTGCAGCATGAAAAAATCCCCAAAAAAATCCTCCTCAAAATCAAAACAATTCTCAAAAATCCCTCAGATTTTTTTAAATCTCCCCCTAAAATCCCCCCACAAAAAACTCCTCCAAAATAAAAAAAATCCTTCCCAAAGAAATTAAAAAAAAATCCCCAAAAATCAAAACAAATCTCAAAAATCCCTCAGATTTTTTTAAATCTCCCCCTAAAATCCCCCCACAAAAAAAAATCCTCCAAAATAAAAAAATCCTCCCAAAAGAAATTTTAAAAAAATCCCCAAAAATCAAAACAAATCTCAAAAATCCCTCAGATTTTTTTAAATCTCCCCCCAAAATCCCCCCACAAAAAACTCCGCCAAAATAAAAAAAATCCTCCCCAAAAAATGAAAAAGAAAATCCCCAAAAATTAAAACAAATCTCAAAAATCCCTCAGATTTTTTTAAATCTCCCCCTAAAATCCCCCCACAAAAAAAAATCCTCCAAAATAAAAAAATCCTCCCAAAAGAAATTTTAAAAAATCCCCAAAAATCAAAACAAATCTCAAAAATCCCTCAGATTTTTTTAAATCCCCCCCCCAAAAAATCCTCCAAAATAAAAAAAATCCTCCCCAAAAAATGAAAAAAAAAAAAAAAAATCCCCAAAAATCAAAACAAATCTCAAAAATCCCTCAGATTTTTTTAAATCTCCCCCCAAAATCCCCCCACAAAAAAAATCCTCCAAAATAAAAAAATCCTCCCAAAAAATTGAACAAAAATCCCCAGAATCAAAACAAATCCCAAAAAAAGCCCTCAAATTTTTTTTTTTTAAAAGCACAAAAACTCCAAAAATTTTGGGGACACCTCTGCTCAATCCCTGCACCCCTAAACTCCAAACAGTTCAGATCTCCCCACAACAACAACCTCCCTAAAATTCCGTTTATTCCCCGTTTTCCCTTAGCAAACAGCACCGGTTCTCCCCCAGGGCATGGGGAAGGGGCCGGGGACGCCGTCCTGGCCCACCCTGGGATTCCTGGAATTGTTTTCCCGGGATTCCGGGGGTACCTGCGGCCCTGGGCAGCGCTGAGCTGCTCCTTCATGGCTATGGAGTGCCTGAGCAGGCTGTCGATGCTCTTGAAGTAAACGCTGCTGTCGGCCATGTTCTTGATGGCGCTGGAGAAGGGGGAAAAGGGGAGCAGGATGGAGCTGGAATTCCCAAAATCCCGCTTGTTCCCCCTCCAATCCCAGGAAAGTTCAGGTCTGAGGGGTTCCCCACTGGGGGAAGCGGGGAAAATTTCACAAAGGTCCCAAATTCCTGCCAGGAGTTCCCAAATCCCAGCTCCTCCCATCCTCATTCCCTGGATCCTGCTGGGTTTTCCAGCCTGGAATTCCAGGAATTTCACCCTCAAAATGAAAATCCCAAATCCCAACTCATTCCCTGGATCCTGCTGGGTTTTCCAGCCTGGAATTCCAGGAATTTCACCCTCAAAATGAAAATCCCAAATCCCAACTCATTCCCTGGATCCTGTGGTGTTTTCCAGCCTGGAATTCCAGGAATTTCACCCTTGAAGTGAAAATCCCAAATCCCAACTCATTCCCTGGATCCTGCTGGGTTTTCCAGCTTGGAATTCCAGGAATTTCACCCTCAAAATGAAAATCCCAAATCCCAACTCGTTCCCTGGGTTTTTCAGCCTGGAATTCCAGGAATTTCACCCTCAAAATGAAAATCCCAAATCCCAACTCGTTCCCTGGATCTTTCCACCCAGAATTCCAGGAATTTCACCCTCAAAGTGAAAATCCCAAATCCCAACTCATTCCCTGGATCCTGTGGTGTTTTCCAGCCTGGAATTCCAGGAATATCCCTCTCGAAGTGAAAATCCCAAATCCCAATTAATTCCCTGGATCTTTGCCCCCAGAACTGCAGGGATTTCCCTCTCCAGGTGGAAATCCCAAATCCCAGCTGCTCCCACCCTCATTCCCCGGATCCTGCTGCGTTTTCCAGCCGGGAATTCCAGCGCCCCCCGTACCTGCAGGCGTACTCCACGGTGTAAATGGCTCCCTGGCTCTGCTCCTCCCAGCTCTGCATGTCCGACTGCCAGGGCCAAAAACAGCACGGATCAGGCAGGGGCTGGGCTGGGAACAGGATCTGGGGAGGGAATTCCTGCCTGGAATGGGATGGGAGGGAATTCCCGGGGAAGCTGTGGCTGCCCCTGGACCCCGGGAATGTCCAGGCAGGGAAGGATCCAAGGAAAACCTGGAGCTGCTTCCGGAGGTGCAAGGAGTTCCAAAGGAGCTGGAGAGGATTTGGGATGAGGATGGAGGGACAGGAGCCAGGGAATGGATCTGGGAATTCCAGGGCACAGGGAATGGATCTGGGATTTGGGAATTCCAGGGCACAGGGAATGGATTTGGGATTTGGGATGGGAATCCCAGGGCACAGGGAATGGATTCGGGATGGAATCCCAGGGATGGAACCCCAGGAGCCAGGGGACAGCTCCAGGCTGGACAATTCCCGTGGGGATTTTGGGGCAGGAATTCCCAGAGGAGCTGCGCCCGCCGGGCGGGGCGGGCTCGTCCCTCAGCTCCCGGAATTCCCGGAATTCCCGGGGTTCCCCACCTTGTGCTGGGCCAGCTCGGGCAGGGAGCGCCGCACGTGCTCCTGCAGCCGGAACAGCGCCACCGAGGGCTCGTTGGCCAGCACGTACAGGCTCTCGGTGAACTTGTCCGTCACTGCCGGGAGAAACCGGGAAAAAACCGGGATTAACGGGAATCCATCGGGATACGGGGGAGGCAGGGCTAATCCAGGGAGATAACTCAGCGGAAACCCACAGAAATCAACAGTAATCTCTCCATAGAAATCCATAAAAATATCTCTACAGAAATCCAGAGAAATCCATGGAAATATCTCACAGAAATCCATGGAAATATCTCCATAGAAGTATCTCTATAGGAATCTATGGAAATCCATGTAGATCTCTCCATAGAAATCCATGGAAGCAAACAGAAATATCTCCATGGAAATCCTCAGGAATATCTCCGCAGAAAACCTTGGAAATATCTCCACAGAAACCCACACTAAAATCTCCGAGGGACACCCGGGGGCTCTTCCCAGCAGCAGCAAGGGGGATAAAGGTCGGCAATCAAACCACAACATCCCAGCGGCCAAACCACCGCGGCGGGGCCTCTCCCAGCCCATCCCCGCCGCTCCCGGTCCCGGTCCCGCCTGTCCCGGTCCCGCCGCTGCCGGTCCCACCTTTCTTCACCTTCAGCTGCATCTCCGGTTCCTCCATCCCGCCCGCCGCCACTTCCGCTTCCGCCGGCGCGCCCCCAAAGCGCCCCGGGCAGGGAAAACAGCCCCGGCTGGAAACGCGGCCGCGGGATCAACGTTCCGCTGAGCGGGACCAACGTTCCCACGCCCCCCCCAAATCGGTGTCACCCCCCCAGGTCTCCGTTGTGACCCGCGGGGACACTCGGTGGCTCCCGGTTTGTCACCGCGGGGACACTCGGTGGCTCCCGGTTTGGCCGTGCTGCCCTGAGAGGGGTCTGGGGGTGTCGCGGCCTTTGCCCCCCCTCGGCACCGCGGTGTCCCCGAGGTGTCCCCAAGGTGTCCCCCGGGCCAGGCGGTCCCGCTGCCACCCCCTCGTGTCGCTTTAAGGCCGCTCTCGGCGGGACGTGGGGCCGGGCCGCGCTCCCCGAACCCCCCGGGCCGCCCCGGCCCCGCCGGGCCCCGCAGGAACGGGAAGGGAGGGGCGGGAGAGCCGGGAGGCGGCGGTGAGACCGGGAACGGGAACCGGGGACGGGAACCGGGGACGGGAACGGGGCTGGGAACGGATCGGAACGGACCGGGAACGGGGACGGGAACCGGGGACGGATCGGGGACGGGAAGGAAGGGGCGGTGAGCCGGGAGGCGGCGGTGAGACCGGGAACGGGAACCGGGGATGGGAACCGGGAATGGGAACGGGATGAGGAAGGGATGGGGAACGGATCGGGAACGGGAAATGAGGGGCGGGAGAGCCGGGAGGCGGCGGTGAGACCGGGAACGGGATCGGGATCCGGGGATGGGATCAGGAAAAGGATCGAGAACGGGAACCGGGGGCGGGAAAGGGATCGGGACCGGCGGTGAGGGGCTGGGAGAAGGGATGGGGAGGGCCCGGGGGTCCCGGGCTCGGAGGAGCTGCGGGAGCGGAGGTTGGGAGTGTGGGAAGCGCCGGGAATGGCGATCCCGGGAGCGGGGACAGAGAGGGGGAGCCCAGGGACGGAGATGGGAACCGAGTGTGGGACGGGGAAGGGAAGATCCCAGAAACGGGGCGAGGAGAACAGGGGGTACCCAGGGACCGGGATGGGGAGCGCAGAGGGACCCCAGCCCCGCTGCAGCGTGGGGGTCTCAGGCACTCGGGGTCCGTCCCTGTCCCCTCTCCCACCCCATCCCTGGGCAGGGAAGGCGAAGGAGCCGTCGGGGAGCGCCCCTGGAGCCCGGGACCCCCCAGAATTGGGTGGAAAAGGGGGAAAGGGTGAAGAGGCAGCATGGGGGACAGCGGGGCCCCCTCGGCGTGTCCCCGGCAGGACGGGGACGCAGCGCTCCCGGAACGTGGGGACGGTGAGTTGGGGATGCTGGGCACAAACTGAGCCCGGATCCTCCTGCACACCGGGGGCTGTTTGGGGTATCCCGAGCTGGATGGCACCGCCCGGGACACCCCAAAAGGAGCCCCAGGGTGACACCGAGGCGCCCGGGCTGCAGGTGGAGCCGAGAGCCCCCGGAATTCCTCGGCTGCTCCCGTGGATTCCCCGAGCCCCAGCGAGGCCCCGGCCCTGGACGGTGAGTGGGGCGCAGAGGGGAAATTCCCTGGGGTCCCCTGTCCCAAAAATCCCGGGAAGGAGCCTCAAATGTGGGAAATCCCATCCCAATCCCAACGTTTGGTGCCCACACCTCCTGCCAGCCCTGAGAGGTCCCTCCAGCTCTGCTCCAATAAAACTTCGGATCAGGGGCTGGAAACGCTTTGGGATTCCCGAGGAAGAGCCTTAAATTGCTGCTCAAACATGGAAAATCCCAATCCCAAAGTTTGGTGCAGACTCCTCCTGCCAGCCCTGAGAGGTCGCTGCAGCTCCACGCTGCAACTGGAGATGGGGAAATCTCATTTTCCTTGGATTTTTCCCAATAAAACCTCGGATCAAGGGGCTGGAAACACTTTGGGATTCCCAAGCGGAGCCGGGCAGGGATGGGAAACAGGAGGATGGAGCTGGGTGGTGTGGATTTAAATAAACAGAAAATAAACCTGAAATTAATGGAGAGTAAATAAATAAATAAATAAATGGAGAGTAAACGAATGGAGAATGAATAAACATAAAGTAAACCAGAAATTAATGGAGAATAAACCCGAATTGATGGAGAGTAACCCCGAATTAATGGAGAATAACCCTGAATTGATGGAGAGTAACCCCGAATTAATGGAGAATAACCCTGAATTGATGGAGAATAAACTGCAGACCCTCTGTGTCCCAGGTTTCCCCCTGAAGCATTCCAACACCCTGACCAACAGACAGCGAGGCAACGAGGTGTCAGCACTGCCGGCCACACTGGACAGTGAGTGCCACCAGCGTCCCCAGGGGCTGCAGGGGACATGGGGACAGCAGGGGACGGGGCTGGGGTCACCCTGGGGCAGCTCCCACGCCCCAGATGTGCAGGGAGTTCCTTTCCCTGATGGATTTGTCTCTTCCAGCGCTGTCCATCCACCAGCTCGCTGCCCAAGGGGAGCTCATCCAGCTGAAGGAGCACCTGAGGAAAGGTTGGTGTCCCTCTGGTGACCTCACACTCGGTTTTCACTCAGCCATAAAACCGCTGGGATTGGAATTGGGGTTTTTTGGTGGAGATTTCTCCAGTTTGGGAGATCGGAAAAATCCTCAAAAATCCATTCCAACCACCCAGCAGCTGGCTGAGGTGGTTTAGCAGCCCTTACTGGTTGAACTGGGGGCACTGGGGGCTCACCTGGCTGTGGTCACCTGCCCAGGTGAGAATTTGGTGAACAAACCCGACGAGAGAGGCTTCACCCCCCTGATCTGGGCTGCAGCTTTCGGGGAGATCGAGACCGTGCGGCACCTCCTGGAGTGGGTGAGGCCGTGGGGGCTCCGGGGCTTCCAGAATGTTCTGGGACCTGTCCTGGATCTGGGGTCTGTCCTTGATCCTGTCTGGGACCTGTGGGACCTGTCCTTGATCCAGGGGTCTGTCCTTAATTCTGGGACCTGCCTTTAGTCCTGGTGTCTGTCCTTGACCCTGGGGATTTGTCCTTGACCCTGGGACCCGTTTTTCATCCTGGGGATCTCTTTTTAACGCTCTGTGATCTCCCTCATTTACTCCAGGACCTCTGTCTTTAATCCTGGGATCTCTCCTTCATCCTGGGATTTCCCTTTTTAATCCTGGGATCTGTCTCTGTCCCCACTGTCCCTGGTGTGCTGCAGGGGCGATGTCAGCCCAGGGAGGGTGGCTGTGGGCAGTGTGACCCAGATGTCCTTGCTGTGGGCAGTGTCAGTGTCACCCCACTGTGGGTCAGTGTCACCCTGCTGTCCCTGCTGTGGGTCAGTGTCACCCTGCTGTCCCAGCTGTGGGTCAGTGTGACCGGGCTGTCCCCGCTGTGGGTCAGTGTCCCCAGGCTGTCCCCGCTGTGGGTCAGTGTCAGTGTCACCCTGCTGTGGGTCAGTGTCACTGGGCTGTCCCCGCTGTGGGCAGGGTCAGTGTCACCCCACTATGGGCAGTGTCCCCAGGCTGTCCCCACTGTGGGTCAGTGTCACTGGGCTGTCCCCGCTGTGGGTGAGTGTCAATGTCACCCTGCTGTCCCCGCTGTGGGTCAGTGTCCCCAGGCTGTCCCCGCTGTGGGCAGTGTCAGTGTCACCCCGCTGTGGGTCAGTGTGACCGGGCCATCCCCGCTGTCCCCAGGGCGCCGATCCCCACGCGCTGGCCAAGGAGCGGGAGAGCGCGCTGGCCCTGGCCAGCATGGGCGGCTACACCGACATCGTCACCATGCTGCTGGACAGGGACGTGGACATCAACACCTACGACTGGGTGAGGGCCAGCCCCGGCTGGGGGACAGCAGGGACAGCGGGGACAGCGGGGACAGCAGGACAAGCCTCCCCAGTGCCACCAGCATGGCCAGGGGACACCAGTCTGGAGCTGGGAGAGGCTGGGCTGGGATCCCAGTCTGGAGCTGGGAGAGGCTGGGCTGGGATCCCAGTGTGGAACTGGGAGAGGCTGGGTTGGGATCCCAGTGTGGAGCTGGGAGAGGCTGGGCTGGATCCCAGTCTGGAGCTGGGAGAGGCTGGGTTGGGATCCCAGTGTGGAACTGGGAGAGGCTGGGTTGGGATCCCAGTCTGGAGCTGGGAGAGGCTGGGCTGGGATCCCAGTCTGGAACTGGGAGAGGCTGGGTTGGGATCCCAGTCTGGAGCTGGGAGAGGCTGGGCTGGGATCCCAGTCTGGAACTGGGAGAGGCTGGGCTGGGATCCCAGTGTGGAACTGGGAGAGGCTGGGCTGGGATCCCAGTGTGGAGCTGGGAGAGGCTGCAATGGGATCCCAGTGTGGAGCTGGGAGAGGCTGCAATGGGATCCCAGTCTGGAGCTGGGAGAGGGTGGGTTGGGATCCCAGTCTGGAACTGGGAGAGGCTGGGTTAGATCCCACTCTGGAACTGGGAGAGGCTGGGCTGGGATCCCAGTGTGGAGCTGGGAGAGGCTGGGCTGGATCCCAGTCTGGAACTGGGAGAGGCTGGGCTGGATCCCAGTCTGGAGCTGGGAGAGGCTGGGTTGGGATCCCAGTCTGGAGCTGGGAGAGGCTGGGCTGGGATCCCAGTCTGGAGCTGGGAGAGGCTGGGCTGGATCCCAGTCTGGAACTGGGAGAGGCTGGGCTGGGATCCCAGTGTGGAGCTGGGAGAGGCTGGGTTGGGATCCCAGTGTGGAGCTGGGAGAGGCTGGGCTGGATCCCACTCTGGAACTGGGAGAGGCTGGGCTGGATCCCACTCTGGAATTGGGAGAGGCTGGGCTGGATCCCACTCTGGAATTGGGAGAGGCTGGGCTGGATCCCAGCGTGTGGCACAGCCCCTGAGGGACAGCGGGGAGCAGCAGGAGCCGTGTGGCACCAGGAACGACCTCTCCCTGCCCTGGCACCCCACAGAACGGGGGCACCCCCCTGCTCTACGCCGTGCGCGGGAACCACGTCAAGTGTGTGGAGGCCCTGCTGGGTAAGGCACAGATCGGCTCCTGCCGGCTCCATCGCCCGCAGCCGCTGCCTCCCTGCCGTGGGAGCAGGGCCGGGGCCAGGGGCAGCTCCTGGGGCCCCACGGGAGCCCCCATGGCAGCCCCCATTGCTGACCCCATGGCAGCCCCTATTGCTGACCCCATTGCTGACCCCATTGCTGACCCCATTGCTGACCCTATTGCTGACCCCCATTGCTGACCCCCATTGCTGACCCCATTGCTGACCCTATTGCTGACCCCCATTGCTGACCCCATTGCTGACCCCCACGGGAGCCCCCATGGCAGCCCCCATTGCTGACCCCCATTGCTGACCCCATTGCTGACCCCATGGCAGCCCCCATTGCTGACCCCCATTGCTGACCCCATTGCTGACCCCCATGGCAGCCCCCATTGCTGACCCCATGGCAGCCCCCATTGCTGACCCCCATTGCTGACCCCATTGCTGACCCCCATGGCAGCCCCCATTGCTGACCCCCATTGCTGACCCCCATTGCTGACCCCATTGCAGCCCCCATGGCAGCCCCCATTGCTGACCCCCATTGCTGACCCCCATTGCTGACCCCATTGCTGACCCCCATGGCAGCCCCCATTGCTGACCCCCATTGCTGACCCCCATTGCTGACCCCATTGCAGCCCCCATGGCAGCCCCCATTGCTGACCCCCATTGCTGACCCCATTGCTCACCCCATGGCAGCCCCCATTGCTGACCCCCATTGCTGACCCCATTGCTGACCCCATTGCTGACCCCATGGGAGCCCCCATTGCTGACCCCATTGCTGACCCCATTGCTGACCACATTGCTGACCCCATTGCTCACCCCATGGCAGCCCCCATTGCTGACCCCCATTGCAGCCCCCATTGCTGACCCCCATTGCAGCCCCCATTGCTGACCCCATTGCTGACCCCATTGCTGACCCCCATTGCTGACCCCCATTGCTGACCCCATTGCTGACCCCATTGCTGACCCCATTGCTGACCCCCATTGCTGACCCCATTGCTGACCCCATTGCTGACCCCATTGCTGACCCCCATGGCAGCCCCCATTGCTGACCCCATTGCTGACCCCATTGCTGACCCCATTGCAGCGTGCGGCGCTGACCTGACCGAGGAGGCAGACTCAGGGTACACCCCCATGGACCTGGCCGTGGCCTTGGGACACAAGAAAGGCAAGTGGTCCCCATCAGGAAACAGGGATTTCCCCTCAGAAAGCAGGGGTTGCCCTCAGGAAATAGGGATTGCCCCCAAAAAACAGGGATTTCCCTCAGAAAACTGGGTTTTCCTCAGAAAACTGGGGTTTCCCCTTGTAAAGCTGGTATTTCCTCAGAAAACAGGGATTTCCCTCAGAAAGCAGGGATTTCCCGCAGAAAGCAGGGATTTTCCCTTAGAAAACAGGGATTTCACATAGAAAACAGGGGTTTCACATAGAAAACAAGGAGTTCCCCTCAGAAAACAAGAGTTAAACGATGACCAGATCCTTCCCAGAGCAGCTTCCCTGAGTCCACCCTCTCCCTGCCTCAGTCCAGCAGGTTATCGAGAACCACATCCTGAAGCTGTTCCAGAACAAGAAGAGGAAGAAGTGAGGCAGCAGCTCCAGCTCTTCCCAGCATCACCGTGGCCTCATCCCAGCACCCCAGGCATGGAGAAATCCAGGAATTTCTGCCCTCGTGGAGCCCAAGCCTCTCCCTGGCTGCCATGCCTAAAACCCAGGGACACTCACTCCAGCCCTGGCTGGACTCAGCAGCTCCGTATTGGAAGTAAACTTTAATTGCAATTAAACTCTGTTTAATTAAAATCCCATCGGCCCATCCTAATCCCAGTCTTTGGGCAACAGTGAGTCAAAATTTCCCCTCGGCATTGTGGAATTCCTGTCCAGGGCTGCCCCTTCTCCTATAAAACTGCCACAGCCAGAAGGGAAAATCCCACAGGATTCTGGCAGATGGGAATTCCAGGTTTTGGGCAGCCACGAGTCAAAATTTCCCCTCAACATTCCTGTCCAGAGCTGCCCCTTCTCCTATAAAACTGCCACAGCCAGGAGGGAAGATCCCACAGGGTTGTGTTGCTGCCATCCCAAAGGGGTGACAGCACAGGGAGGGGACGCCGCTCCCGTGTGCTGATGGCAAAGCCCCGCTGGCTCATTCCAGGAAAAAGCAGGAATTGATCCCATTTTATTGATCCCACTGCACACCTGTGCCCAGCGCAGCCTCCCCGGTGCCACCTCAGGGGACAGGGACCCCCCTCGTGGGGCTCTCAGAGCCCCCAGAGAGGGGACAGGGGAGCCTCTCCCCCAGCACCCCCAGGTGATAAACGACCACCCTGCCAAAGAAATCCGTGCTGCTGCCAAAGGTGATCCTCAGCTTGTCCAGCACCGTCTCCTCCACCTGGAACCTGTGCAGATCCCGGTCAAGGAACAACGCTGGGATCTGGGGCTCACAGCCCAGCTCTGCTCAGCAGCAAAATTCCCCAAAAACCCCCAGATTCTGCCTTGCCCTGCTCAGCACGCTGGGAAAGGATATCTGCATGGCGTGGCTGTCCTGGGGGTACAGCTCTGATATCTTCACCAGTTCCTCGCCCGTTCTGCAGCCTGGGGAGGGCGAGCAGGAGCCTCAGGTGCTTCCAGGAGCCTCCAGGTGCTGCCCCAAAACCTTCCCTGGCTCCCACCGGCACCCAAAGGCTCCCAGCCCCTCTTTATTCACTCACACAGGAGCCTCCAGGTGCTGCCCCAAAACCTTCCCTGGCTCCCACCGGCACCCAGAGGCTCCCAGCCCCTCTTTATTCACCCCCAGAGCCTCTCCAGGTGCTGCCAAGCCCCTCCTGGGCTTTGGGGATTGCTGACCAACGCCCCGAGGCTCCCTGTGAGCCCCTGCAGGTGCGGGTAAGCTGAGGCAGGAGCCCGCGGTGCCTCAGTTTACCTGCCAGCCACCCTCACCTTCCAGCGTGCACAGCCGGCTGGAAAAGCCCCCCTGGAACTGGATGTGCAGCTGGGAGACCTTGACAGGGCAGGGGAAATCCAGGGTGACCCACTGGGATGTGCCCTGGGGGGACAGGAGCGTCACAGGGGGCACGGGGAGGGCAGGGATGGGCGGACAGGATGTCACAGCCCTGCCCCTGTCCCTGTCCCCACACCTGGTCCGAGTTCCAGCAGGTCTCCTCGCTGCCATCGAACAGGTGCTGCTTCCCGAAGTGCTTCACGTCCCGGTTCAGCACGGAGCTCACCCTGCGGGGACAGCGCCACCCTCGGGGGCATCAGGGACAGGCAGGGGACAGCGCCAACCCCGCGGGGACAGCGGGGACAGGCAGGGGACAGGGCCATCCCCTGCGGGGACAGCGCCACCATCCCCCGGGGACAGCGGGGACAGGCAGGGGACAGCGCCACCCTCGGGGGCATCAGGGACAGGCAGGGGACAGGGCCAACCCCCCTGGGGACATCAGGGACAGGCAGGGAACAGGGCCAACCCCCCTGGGGACAGCGGGGACAGGCAGGGCTGGGGACAGGCAGGAGGGGCCGGCACTCACCGCGTGGCCGTGCGGGGACACACCAGGGGCTCCAGGGGCATCGCTGCCTGCGGGGAGGGACGGGCGTGATGGGGACACCAAAACGGGGCTGGGGACACCTAAAATTGGACTGGGGACACCTAAAATGGGGCTGGGGAGACCCAAAACGGGGCTGGGGACACCAAAACAGGGCTGGGGACACCTGGGCGGGAATGGGGACCCTTGGACTGAACTGGGGACACCCAAAACAGACGCTGGGGACCCTGGGCCACCCCCGGACAGAGCTGGGACCCCCCGAGCGGCACCGGTGACGCCCGGCCAGCCCCGGGGACCCCGGGAGCTGCTGCCCGGCCCCTCCCGGTCCCGCCGGGGCCGCCCCGCACTCACCGCCCGCCGCAGGAAGAGGCGGAGCCGCCGCCGCGCTCCCGGTGTCCGGTACCGCCCTCGGCGCCGCAGGGGCTCCGGGACGGCGGCTCCGCGTCCCCCCCGCCGCCCCTGCAGGTCCCGGGACTCCCCGGCCCCGGCCCAGCCCCGGCGCCCCCTCCCGCCGTGCTCGGCCCCGGTACCGGTGTCCGCGGGAGCCCGGGGATCCCCGCTCCTCTCCCGGGGCTGGGGGGGCCCGGGCGGGGCACGGGGGGCGCGGGGACCTTCCCGGGACTGCTCCGCTGGTGGCACCGGCAGAGAGGGACCGGGACAGGGACCGGGACAGGGACAGGGACAGGGACAGGAGCAGGGACAGGGACAGGGACCGGGACAGGGACAGGGACAGGGACCGGGACAGGGACAGGGACAGGGACAGGGACAGGGACAGGGACAGGAACAGGGACAGGGACAGGGACAGGGACAGGGACAGGGACCGGGACAGGGACAGGGACAGGAGCAGGGACAGGGACAGGGACCGGGAGTGCGGGGTGGGAGGGATCCCCGCATTCCCGCATCCCTGAAACCCTGCGTGTCCCTGCATCCCCAAATCTCCGAATTCCTGAACCCCGTCATTCCTGAGCCCCTGCAGCCCGGAACATTCCTGAATCCCCGCATTCCTGAATTCCTGCTTGCACCTGCATCCCCATCCCCGAATCCCTGCAAATCTCTGCATATCCCCACACATCCCTGCACATTCCTGCATCCCCGCACATTCCTGCTAATCCCTGCATCCCTGCAGATCCCAGGATCCCTCCACAGCCCAGCCGTGCTGCTCCTCCCAGCTCAGCCCTGCATTCCTGCTCAGCCCTGCATTCCTGCTCAGCCCTGCATCCTTTTTCATCGCTGTTTATCCTGACCTCCCTGCAGGGCCCAGCAGCCCCGAATCCCTGCGAATCCCTGCCCACCGCAGCCTCCCTGCCCACCGCAGCCCCCGGCTCCGCAGCCCCGCAGAGCTCCCGGTGCCGGGTGAGTCACGGCGGCCGCGCCGAGGCCGCCTCAGCTCAGTCACCGGCAAAAATAAACCCGGCGAGAGCTGCGAAGCCACCGCCCCCTCCTCGTCCCCATCCCCGTCCCCGTTCCCGTCCCCGTTCCCGTTCCCGTCCCCGTTCCCGTCCCTGCGCCGCCCCGGGGCTCGGTCCCGGCCGGGGACACGCTGCCGCCCGCACACACATGTCACACGCATGTCACACGCATGTCACACGCATGTCACACGCCTGTGCGCACACCCGCGGGGACACGCGACCCAGCAGCACACGCGTGACCGGCTCTGCCTTCCTCCTCCTCCTCCTCCCCCCTCCCCTCCTTCCCCCGTCGAGTTTCGCCTGAGAAATTGGGTCAAAAACCGCAGGAGCCTCATTTGCCCCTGGGCTAATTGCGCGTCTGGGGACAGAGCTGCCACTTCTGCCACCGCCGTGCGCGTCACCCCCCGCCCGCGCCCGCCGCCAGCGTCCCCCTCCTCATCCCGGTGACCCCGAACCCGCCGATGCTGCGGAACCGGGAAGCAGCGGCCCAGCCCCGGGATCTTCGGCCTCATCCCCTTCCTCGCAGTCGAGGAACGCGGCGCCGTCGGGGCCGGGCCGTGCCGGGAGCGGCTCTGGCCTCTCCGTGGGCTCCGGGAGCCGGTGGCGGGGCCGGTGCCGAGGGCAGCGCGGGCCCAGCTCCGGACCCCGCTCGCCCCGGGGCCGCGGTGCCGGCGCAGGAAGCGCCCGCCCGGTGCCTTTTGTGCGGGTGCTGTGCCCTTCAGCATTAATTAATTAATTAATTCCTCGTGCCGATTGATTTCCACTTCCGTGCAAAGCCCCGGGGATCGCCGGGGGTGCGGGACTCGGGGCGCCCGGCACAGCGCTCTGCCTGTTCTCCGTGCCTTTGTTGTTTATTCCCCCCAGCGCACAGGACGGGGCTCCAGGGAGGGTTGGGCACAGCCAGGTGTCGTTGGTCATTCACGCCGAGTGACAACGTGGTGGCATCTCGGCGCTGGGAAGGAGCAGGGCAGGGTGACCGTGCGTGCATCGCCCTGGAAGGGGATGGGTAAATGATATAATTGTCATTAATTTATTATAAGGCTGGTTTTAAGTCGCAAACTGGCGTTTAGTCCCCAGGGCTGAGGGCGCCGGGGTCGCTGCAGTGTCCCCAACAGTGTCACCACACCGCGAGTGCCTCCTGACACGTGTCACAGCGGTGTGAGCAGGTGTGAGGGTGGCGTGTGCCTCTAATGAGCTTGGCTTTGCTGACGGGAGACGCCGCTCGGTGTCCCCGCACGGCACAATTAGCACCCTTGCTAATGAGCCAGCGCGGCCTCCTGCCAGCCCCGCTGCTGATCGCGGCCGGAGCCGGAGCGGGGCTGCCCGGGCCCGGTGTCCCCCGTGTCCCGTGCCGAAATCAGTGCAGGGGTGAGCGGGTGGCATCGCCACCCGGGGGTGGCCAAGGAGGCGCCCGTGTCCCCTCCCTGTCCCCTCCCTGTCCCCGCTCGTGTCCCAGGTGCGGGGCGGCCGCTGCCCGAGGGGGAAGGAGCGGGTCCGGCTGCCGGAAGGGGGGAAGGGAAGGAGGCAGTTGCCATGGAAACCGCAAATAAAATCAATGCCCGCTGCCGGTGGGCTCGGAGCGAAGCTGGGCCTGGCCAGGGCGGCACCGCCGCGTCCCCGGGGTCACTGCAGCCCCCGCTGTGCCCGGTGCTCAGGTGGCGCCGGGATGGGGGGACAGGGACAGCACGGGGGGGTCCCAGCGTTCCGGCCTCGCCCCGTCCCCTCCGCAGCCCAGGCTGGGCCGTCCTGCCCAGCTCCAGCCCCGCAGCTCCGCCAGGACGGGCACGGCCGCCGCTTCCCCCAGCCGCGGATCCTCCTGTCCGTCCGTCCGTCCGTCCGTCCGTCCGTCCGTGCCGCTGCCCGCCCCGTGCCTCTGCCCCGAGCGCCGGCCGCAGCTGCGGCGGCAGCGGCCTCGTTAATGAGCTGCGGCGCTGATGAATGTGGCAGCTCTCCTGGAACGGCCGTCAGCAGCCGCCGGCGGGCCTGAGCGGAATAACAAACGGCTCCGTGGGCTCGGGACGGGGTCCCCCCGAGCACCCCGCGGCCGTGCGGGGACCCCGGGCCGCGCTCCCGGGGGGCTCCGGGGCCCCGCTCTGCCCGTGAGGCCCCGGGACCGCGCGGCGCCACCGCCGCCAACCGGGGCGGCTCGGGAGGCTCCCGGCCACGCCACCCACCCGCTTTGGCTCTGTCCTGTGGGGGACGGGGGTGGTGACCACAGAACAACCCCTCCGTCCCCATCGCTGTCCCCACATCTGTCCCCTCGCCGCGGGCTGGCCACGCCACCCTCGATTGTGACGGCAGCAGGAGCCGGCTGAGTCCTACCAAACTCGTGTCACTCACGCCGCCCGCTGTCCCCTGCGGGGCCGGGGACACCGGAGCAGTGGGGACCCCCCGGCCCCCGGCCGGAGCCGCAGCGGGGGCCCCGCGGGCCGTGGCGGGAGCCCCTCGGCGCTGTCACCGCACCCCAACCGCCCGCGGCCTCTCCTCGCGTCCCTGTCACAACAAAGGAAAACATCTCTGGATGGAAACTGCGGGAGGGTCGTCACGGCAACACTGCTGCAGGATTTCACCAGAATCCCGGCGTTCGGGCTCAAAAAGACGCGCAGGGCCCGCGCTCCCCCGCGCAGCCGCCGCCGCCGCCGATCCTGCCGGGCTTGGGGCCCGGGGAGCGGCACCGAGGGACGGGGACACCCCAGCCGCGCCGTCCCGGGCCACCCGCGGGGCTCGGGGCTGTGGGGACGCGGTGACAGCGGGTTCTGCCTCGTGGGAGCAGCTCGGGGCTGGATGTGGGGCGGGAGGGGTGGGAGGACCCCACCCTGGGCGAGGACAGCGACACTGGGACAGCGCTCGGTGCCAGCGCCGGCTCTGCCACCCCTGGGCGAGGACAGCGACACTGGGACAGCGCTCGGTGCCAGCGCTGGCTCTGCCGCCCCTGGGCTCAGGGGGCAGCGGCACCCGCTGAAGTCACCTCCCAGCTGCAGGGAGGACTCTGGGACGCCAGACCGGTCCCCAGCGCGTCCCTGGGCCCGGAGCCGCTGCCGAGGAGCGGGGAGCGGTGTCGGTGTCCCCCCGGCCCCCGAGCCGCGCTGGCCGGTGGCTGCTGTGCCATTCATCCCCTCTTGAGACGAGAGCTCGGCCCAGTCACCGCCAGCGCCTTCCCCTGCCACCAAAACGGCCGCGGGACATCCCCGGTGCTCGGCCGGGCCTCGGTGTCCCCTGGGGGGTGGCCCGGGTGCCCCTTCCCTCACCTTGGAGTCCCCAGGAGGCGCCGGGGCCCTCTCGAGGGTCGGGGTCTCGCTGTGAGCAGCTGTGCTGGAGTTGTTGGGATGGGAGACACGAGGGACGTGCTGGGCCCAGAATGTGGGATGAGCCCGCCGACCCCTGATCGGATTTCCAGGTGAAATCCAGGAAGACAAAGAGCAGGAGGAAGGATTTGGGGCTGCAGGACCCAAATGTGGTGGGGGGCATCCAGGTGAGGGTTTCAGAGCCCATTAACCACTCCTGGCCCATCCTCTCCTCCCAACAACCCAAAAACAACCTCGGGGTGCCCCCTCCAAAGGTCCCTGGGGTGTCTGGATCCTCCGGGAGCGGGAAGAAGCCGCGGGATCAACGCCCCTGGGACC